GTCTATTTTTACTTACTTCTACCTATTTATACATGTTATTACTGGCTTACATGCGTATGTCAATGATACAATGGCATCTTCAATACATCAACATATTAATTAATTAGATAAAAAAAAACTATGATACATAGATATTTATTATAAAATACTTGATATATATTTGCAAGCTCTACATGCATATAGACGGGATATTAGAATATGCTATGGATACTTATAAAAAATTAAAATAGAAATCAAGTGAAATAGAAGTACAAGCACTGATTGCACTTAATACTAAATTTTTACAATTAACTCATATATGCAAATGTAATAGTGTAAAGGAGTTGTAGGATATATTGGTCAAGATCTAGAAGCCCTCAAGAATTATTATTGAAATATTTTTAATGAAGAAATTGTATAATCTTTGATATGTGGATGGAGAATCTATGGAGATTTTTCTTGGAGAGATTTTTAATCTTAAGGATGAATATATTGAAGTCAGTGGTGAAATGGAAAAATAGAGCATGGCATTTCTTATACTTACTGCATTACTAGAATCTTAGAATCTACTTATTCAATTAATTATATTGAAAAAAAGAGAAGAGATCACGAAAATGATTGAATCATCCATTCTCCTTAAAGATGAGATGCAAAAGAAGGAGAAGACTAGTTTTCCATTTTTTACTTTAGTAGTTCATACAAGAAGAAAATAAGTCTTAAAAAAGTAACATCTAAAACAAAAATAAAAGCCTAAGATTGATAAGTCTAGAAATACTTAAAGAACTTGTGGATAAAAAATGTATTCTCAAGGTGATGCAAAATGTTCCAAAACAAATAACAATGGTACAGTAAATATTGGCATTGTTGTTGTTTTTTTAGCTCAAGAGACATCAATTAATTTAAAAACAATGATTACATTGTTGTCTCAATTACAACATTCTATATGCATTGATAATATAGTAGATGTATACATCTAAAGAGACATGAATAAGCTTCTTAATTATGATGAAAATGTGACTATTCAATTTCAAGTCTATAATGGTGGCATTAGCAAATTACGAGGCTCAAAGTAGATACATTTCACAATTTTAGATCTTATAGAAAAATACAATCCTATGGTTGTGAAGGATGTCCATTGGATTCTTGGAGCACATGATACTTTATTATTAGCTGCAACTTTATGCAAGAAAGGTTGCAAACTTAACTTGGATATCAATGGACTTGATTGGATTCTATATTCAGATGACTTACTCATAATAGAGAGGCTAGCAAGTAAAGATTATTTAATGCCTTGTGAAATTGAAGAGGTTGCTATAATTTTTAGTTCATCTATTTCAAGTTGTATACTTATTGAATGGCATCAAGCATTAGTACATGCTTAAATGCATACAGTAAATGAGGTAAACTAGATGAATTGTATTAAAGGATTAAAGTTCAAGAGGGAGAAGGATAAAATACCTATATGTAATTCATTTATTATTGGCAAGGCCCATGGGCAATCTTTTTCACAAAATCATAAACATGTCTATAGTATTTTAGATATAATAGTATTTGATCTTGATTATTTTGACATAGCTAACTTTGGTAGTGCCAAATGATTAGGTGTATGGATTGATGAATATTTTGGCTATTGTAGCCTTGTATTTCTTCAAATTAAGAACCAAGTACATATTGCTTATAAGACTTGAGAAGCAGAGGTACAAAGAAGAACTGAAAGAAAAGTAAAAAAAATGTCTCATTAATCAAGGCACTAAATTCTTGAATAGTAAGCTTGGTTTGTACTTCAAAACTAAAGGCATTCAACATTTGATCACCTTTGTATATACACATGAAATTATCGACATGGCAAAGCATATAATGGAGACCATTTTGAAAGGAATACAAATACTTTTAGATGATGCCAAGCTAAATTATCAATATTAAGCATTTGTAGCAAAATTTGTGATTTAGACTTGTAATCGCCTTTCAATTACAAGACTTGATAGTAAGACACTACATGAAGTTTTTTATAGTGAAAAACTTTCTCTTTAAAATGATCATTGCTTTGATTTTCTTGCTTAGTATCATATATCAAAGAAAAAACATCAAAAATTCAATACAAAGGTAAAGATGGATATTTTTGTTGAATACTCAAAAGTGAAAAAATGATATGAAATTTTTCTACTTGAGAAAAAAAAGATAATTCTTAATTGAGATGTAATCTTTTTCAATAATAAGGATGAATTACTTGATGAGCCACTAATCCCTCAAGAAAGAATTGGAAAAGTTATGGATTATAGAAATAATCTTGATATATTAAATTTTGAACATCTAAATGAATTAGAAATATCCCAACCTCAAGCCTCAAGGTTACATATACACAATAGATTGGATGAAGAAGTGGTTGAAGAAGAAGTAAATCCTATACCAATAGAAGTAGTGGAATTCTATCAACTATAAATAGAGACAACTGTTCAAGCTCTACTACCAAGATGTCATTATGTAGGTGGCATTGATTCAGCAAATTTTATAAGCGGTAGTAGGATGTATTGTATGCCTTAGGAAAAAGACAATAATTTTATTTGAAGAGATTATGATTTGGTGATTGAAATAGTGGATGTGATTCATATTGATAAAGATGCAAAATTAGAGACTGTTGAACAATCTATGGATTCAATTTTTTGTAAAGAATGGAGTCATGCCATGAAAAAAGAACTTGCTTCTTTGAAGGATCATGATACATGGAAATTTTTATTTTTACCTAATAGTAAGAAGGTTGTGGATTTAAAATAGATCTTAAAAAAAAGCTTGCTAGTGTTGGCTCTATTGAATGTTTTAAAGTATGATTGATTACAAAGAATTTTATACTAGTGAAGGGTCTTAATCACTAAGTAATTTTTGTACTAATTACTCCAATTGTATATTTGTTACAATTATCAGTAGCTTTAATTGGAATATATTGTAACTTGATATTGTTTCAGCTTATTTAAATGACAAACTTAAAAAGGACATTTATATGAAAATTCCAAAAGGTTTGGAAGTTTTATCAAAACACAAATGTAAGGTATTGCGATTGCTAAAGACTTTATATATTTTGAAGCAATCTCGACATGGATGGAATGAAAGTTTGAATAAATCTTTATTGAATCTTGGTTGGAAGTACTCAGAATCAGATCCTTGCTTGTACACAATGTATATAGAAAGATTAGTTCTTGCATTAATTATCTATATTAATGATATACTTATTGGTGGCAAGGACATTGAGATCCTTGTGAAATGTGAAGATGAATTATAAGAGTGCTATAAGATAAAAAGACCTTGGTGAATGTAGTGATTTTTTTCACATTATTTTTTTGCGAGATAAGAAAAATGATACTATTAATTTGAATCAAAGTAGGTATATTTGTCAAAAGTTAGAAAAATTTGGGATGAAAGATGCAAAGGCAGTTACCACACCAATGGTACAAATTCATGTCACTAAGCATGAGAATGATGATCTTTTGGACACAGAAGATGCAAAGTTTTATCAAAAGGCTTTAGGTTTGTTATTATATCTTGTAAATGGTACAAGGTATGACATTGCATTTGCTTGTGAATACTTTGCTCAATACATGGCACATCCACATGTTTCACATTGGCAAAGAAGTAAACAAATATTTTGTTACTTACAAGGAACAAAATATTTGGTATTGCAATATAGAAGAAAAGCAGCAAATTTACAACTTGTAGGTTAGAATAATGTAGATAGAGTAAGTTATGTGGAGATGCATTGTTTAGTAGAAGGTTATGCATTTATATTGGATAGACAATTATGACTTAGTCAAGCAAAAAATAATCTTTAGTTTCTGTTTTGTCAACCAAAGCATAGTATGCCGCCTTGGCTGCTGCAGCAAGGGAAACTTTGTAGCTTGGTAAAGCACTTAGAAATTATGACATATTAGAAACAAAAAGAATTCTCATTTATGAAGATAACCAAAATGCCATTGCTATTGCCAAGAATCCAACACACCATTGTCATACAAAGCATTGGGATATAGAACATCATTTTATTAGGCAATGTGTTGAAAAAGGACAAATTGGTTTAGAATATTATAGAAGCTAGTGGCAGATATCTTCACAAAACCTCTCTATAGAGATAAGTTTTTAGCTTTTAGGGATATATTAGATCTTATTTTAGTAGAGAATTAAGTCCCACTTCCAAAAGAAGAGTGTTGAATATCCCATATTGTAAGTACCAAAATTGTGACTTATCCAACTCTTAACTAAGATACCGGAAATGCCCTTCCCTTCTTCCTCCACCTTTCCTTAGCAACGAATAATGTCCCTCCTCCTTTAATGCTTTCATCCTGTTTCATAATGCTTTCTTTAATGCTTTCATCCTGTTTTTGTAACAATGGCCCTACATTGTTCATGCAATGTTTAGGCGAATCCTGAGGGACAAATCGAAGATAATAGTTACAAATCAGGAGCATATTCATCAACTGAAGGCGCTTGCACCATCACCGTCTTCGTCGTGGTCACTATCTCTCTCACAAGCATTGCTTAAATCATGTAATACTGCAACTGAAGGTTGCATCCTGGCAATCGTCCGTGTGTGAGTGATGATCGTGAAGCTCGCTACGTCCTGGTGTATCGCCCTCGCATGTTGATGCACATCGGCGCAGTCGATCGTTCGGAGGGTATTTGCTTCTCACTATGAGTGGCGCTTTGAGAACGTCGCCTCGATCTGGCAGAGAGTTGAAGCGATGGCGGCCATTGGGGGATTTCTGCAGTTTGGTTACGACCTCAAACGATCCGTTCGTTCCCTCCCATCTACGAGTGTGTGGGGGCAGCAATGCAGTCCGCCCGTTTTCGCCGCTGCTTTCCAGCTCAGTGCCTCCTGCCGCGACCTTTTTTCTCACCATGCGTTCCTCTGCTCCGTCTCCCTGGTGTCACCTCGTTCCCACAGCGCGATGCGATGAAATCACCACTTGTAGCAAAAGCTAGGCCCAACGCTCTTCATCGGAAGGTCTGCGTTTGATTTCCGTCACTACAGGTAAGTTGCCGAACTCTATGCGGCTTTGTGGTCAAGTGTTTTTAAGGGGTTAAATTTGGCAATGCGTCCGGGTAAAGGACTCGATCGTATTTCGTTGTTACAGCTGATGTAGAATGGGATCATAGCGTCTTTGTTTCAGACTGTTGATGTGTGCGTGCGCGGGGGATTAAAAAGGCGATCGAGCATTGCTTTGCCTGTGATTTGCAACATTTCCCTGAGTTATTCTGGTTGAATCACGAAATGATCAATTGTGATTGTTTTCGGAAGTATGTAAGTGAGAGGCAGGACGTTGTTGAAGTTTAATTTGTTGAGTTGGCACGCTCGAGATTTATGGAAGCCATCGTTGCAGTAAGGACAACTTCAAAATGCTCGATAACAACCAATTTGTCGGCATGAGTTTGGATACCGACGTCCTTGATTGCCTACTTCAATTTAATCTGACGATTTAGACCTGCGGTCGTCATTCAAACCTATATTAGTTTGATGTTTTGCAGTGCAGTGCTCAGCAAGTGTAGCTGTTTCAGATTGATTCTCTCTATGAGGAGAGGCGTTGTACTATCAGCGCGCAAGCAAGCCGAATAGGGACGCTGCAGAAAGTGTTAAAACCTGTATCATGAACAACAACCAGTTGAACCCTGAAGGTCCCTTGGAGATGTCCAAGCAGTGGAGCAGTCGATCCCGTTTCCAGGACTTCTCCGACGACGATCGAAGCAACCGATATTCCTTCTCAGATATCGGAAGAACAGATGAGTCATCTTCTAGCCACATGCTGGATGAGACGCAGCTCAGCTGGATGCTTGAACCGAAATCCATGAAGAAGAAACCCGTAATTGACTTTGGATGTGTCTCTTGCAATCGAAAATGTTTCTGGTGGTCCATTGGCATCCTCGGCGCTAGTGTCATCATCATCGGCCTGTCACTCGTCATTTGGACATTTACTCCAAAGAAGCACTCCACTCCTCCCACCGTGGACAATTACACAGTCGCACTGAGCAAGGCCCTCACATTCCTCGATCTTCAAAAATGTAAGTACTCTGCATCCCATTTTTTACACGGTGATTCAAACCATTTTATTTGTTGAGTGGAGGGCTAACAAAATGTTAAACTGGTGATCCAATTTCTCAGCTGGTGCTTTACGTTCTGGTGCAAACACTACCTCATGGCGTGGATCCTCTGCCTTGCTGGACGGCCAAGCTATATTAAACAGCACCGCAGCTATAAATCTAGCCGGCGGATTTTACGATGCTGGTGACAACATCAAGTTCAGTTTCACAGGAGCTTATGCCATGACGCTCCTGAGCTGGAGTGTAATAGAGTACAAGGCGAAGTTTCAAGCCGCTGCAGAGTTGGACCATGTGAAGAATTTGATAAAATGGGGGACGGATTATTTGCTGAAAACATTCAACTCATCGTCGGTGGATGAGATCGTTTGTCAGGTGTGGTCGCTAGATTGCTTGTATTGTCATTTTGTGAACCAATAGGCGTGACAGCAACACATACTAAACAATAGTTTTCATTGATTTGCCGAAGGTGGGCATGGGCGGAGGTAAAATACCAAACGACCATCACTGCTGGGAAAGACCTGAGGATCTCGACTACTTCAATGACACACGCCGTCTGGGTATTCAAGTACCATCGGGCTCGGACCTGGCGGGAGAGATGGCAGCGGCTCTGTCGGCTGCGTCCATTGTATTTAAAGACCAGCCACTGTACGCACTGAAACTCCTCACAAGCGCCGAAGCTCTTTACGCATTTGCCAAGAAAAGACCCTCTCGCTATGTTGATAGTGATTCCCTTCCGGTTTCTGAAAGAGTTTTCTACAACTCAACAAGTTTCGATGATGAAATAATATGGGCAAGCTCGTGGTTGTACTTCGCTACTGGCAATGCGACCTACCTAGACGACGCAACTATTTCCGCAATTGATAACAGTAACCAAGCTGGGGCCAATGCGTTTGGTGCCTTTGATTGGGATAGCAAGCTCGCGGGAGCCCAGGTACTACCTCTGAATTTTTCATCCACAGTATGTTGCGATTTACCAACTGGATTTAAACCAATCGAACTTCTAAGCATAAATAACGTACTGTCGCTAATCATATGTTGCTTCACTCGTCGTGTTCTACAATATGAAAGTGGCTGTTAACGCAACACATATGTTGCTTCACAGTTGCTTCTTACCAGGCTACGGATGCTGCAAGGACCAGGATATCCGTATGAGCAAGCGCTTAGGCAGTACAACAATGAGACCAATCTGGTGGTGTGCGCTTATATACCACAGTTCGAGATATTCCACCGCACAAAAGGTGTGGCGACCATTTTGCATGGCTAAGACTCCACCTCTATTGATAAAGCCAGTAGCTTCTTTTGCTAACGCCAGTCTAGTTTGATGATTTGAAGACTCTGTTTGATGAGCTTTCATGAGGTTGATGGCGTGCTCGCAGGGGGTTTGGTGCTAATCAATCCGAATGCAACTCAGCACCTTCCTGCTGCTGTTAACGCCGCCTTTTTGGCTGCACTGTACGCTGACTATCTGAAAGCTGCCGATGTACCTGCGATCGAATGTGGTCCCGACATGTTTTCACCGGATGTTCTCCGGGACTTCTCCCGATCGCAGGTTGATTTCCAAACCCTCTTGAAATGAAATTTGTCACAGAGCTCTAAGAATATCTGTTCATTGTTCTAACACACATAGGGATGAGCTTCTGAGCAGGTCGATTACGTACTGGGAAAGAATCCTCTAAACATGAGCTACCTCGTAGGATACAGCGACAAATTTCCGTTACAACCGCACCATCGAGCAGCCTCCTTCCCCAGCGATGGGAAGCGATACAGCTGCAGAGAAGGGTGGAAGTGGAGAGACCGGGATTCTCCTAACCCGCATGTGCTGGTAGGGGCCATGGTTGGAGGTCCTGATAACTACGACCGCTTCAACGATACTCGCAGTAGCTCGGATCAAAATGAGCCCACGCTTGCGGGCAACGCGGGCCTCGTCGGGGCCCTGGTAGCGCTAGCGGCAGCGACAACAGGGGTTAGTAAGAGCTTAGACACCAACTTCATTTTCGCTGCCATTCCGTCCCATATGACTCCTCCCGCTCAGTCTGGGGCGCCCTAAATTATAACATCACGTTCTTTTTCTTTTTCTTTTTGAAAAGTAACGGTGGTTTATTACAACAAAAAGAATATATTTCAATCCGGAGCCCTGGGTAGGGTTGGCGGATTCGTGAATACAGGGGCTAGTTTCTATCTAGGTGAATGAAAAACTCCTGCACATAGTACCTCATTCCTACACCACGTGTCGTTGAACTCTTGGCTGATAATCGCTTTTCTAGTGTCTCCGCATATACTGTAATATGTGAGAATCTGGTTATGTCAAGCCATCCCAGCGTAAATTGTTTCTCGGCATGTGAGATGGTAGATTTCAAGCACATTAAAGGGTTCCTGGGTAAAAATGAAACTGTAGCAGGCACACCAGAGTTGCTACAGAATTGCTGCGCAAAGTACATAGCCTACCAAGCTTCTAGTGTTGGTTCCTGGTTGGTATGCTTGCTGCGAGAGTATGCCTGGGGGTATATCGGATGCCGCTTCTCTCTAGGATAATGTGGGAAACGTGCCCAGCGCGCTCCAAACTCTCAAGGAATGCCAGGTCCTTCGCGCAAACTTACATTTGCGGAGGTAGTGTTCTGGGGTTTCTCAAATATTCACGTCACATCAGGTGCATCGGCTAGGGAAACCCATGACTTTGCACCAACTGTTGGTTGGGAGGTCACTGGAATTCAGTTGCCACAGAAATGTTTGGAGTTTTGCTGGTTTATTGGCGTCCTAGATAAGTTGAATTGCGGCCTTGTTCTAAATCTGTTGGAATTTGAGTTGCTTGAACTTGAGCTGCAGTCGCATAGGTGTGGTTATACGGGATAAAAGGATTCGGTAACTATAGCAAGTGGGATAATTGACGAAGGGGGCATGGGCAAGTGCGTCGATTTTACCCCATGACCACTCGTGGGGGTCAAAGGAGAGATTTTGGACCGAGCAAAGGTTCTATACTAAATCGGTGTATTCAGTGCCCTGATTGATCCCTGTGGTGCGAAGGTCGCCTGTTGTCGTGATAACTCGGATCCAATGCAGGAGTTCCTCGAAAATGTTGAGAAGCTCGTCAGTGTAGGAGGCGAAAAAGGTTGTGATGCGTTTGTGTGAAAGGCCGACCTTCAAAGAGATTGTGAAGTTGGTAAATTGTGTCTTGTAGTGTTCGTCCTGCTAGCCGGCTACCCACTAAAAAGCTGTGAAGGCAACTGCGTCATACTCCAATTCCTGGGTATAGCTGTCAAGATTGCTTCGAGCTGTTGGGTCGTCCTGCTCGTGCCGACTTGTGAGGACACATCTGTGACTGTTTTCCAGTCCCGACGGTCCAAGTGCCAGAGATCCTTGAGCTAGAAAATTTCTCTTTGCATCTTGTTTAGGCCAAATGGGTACTGGGTGTCTGCAAACGTGTCTTTGTTAGCGTTGATCAATTCTGTGCTCCAGAATATATGCTTCCTAGCCGTTGTTTCTGCGGTATTAGGTTGCTAGAAAACAAGGCCATATCGGATTATTTTCCATGATTTCCACACTGCCCACTAGAGGTCAGAGCCGGATCGATGGACGACATTTGTATTTAAAATGAAATGAGAATTTGGTGGCGAGCTTCCCCTTTTCTTTGGCTGGAGAGAATTAATTCGGTGTTGGAGGACTTTCTAAGTAGCAGTGTCAAGCATGAGGCCACTGATAAACAACTTGACCAGTAGAGCATGCTCTTGGTCAAGAAGTTTGAGTCCTCCCATTTTTTGTGGTTGTTTCAAAGAATTCCAACCGACCTTGGCCTGGCACAAGTGTTTTTCATTTTCTCCTGACCAAATGAAGTTTCTTGTTAACTCTCGAACTTTGTGAGGGATTCTCAAAGTTGCTGGCTCATGTTCGGTGAAACTCCCCCTGGAATTTTATTCCAACACAGGTGCCTTTGTCTCTCACATTTGGTGGATGTACCCAAGGTCAAAAAGCAGTCCTAATAGAATTGGGTTGGACAGGTAGCTATTGCACTATTGGTGGTGAATTCATGTCAGCTTGGATAGTGCATGAGTTTAATAGGCTGGGTGGATTGTGTTTCTTTGAGGCCTAGAAAAAATTCCCAATGCATTTAGCCATTGATTTTAGCCCAATGCAATGAGAATTGAATTACTGCCCGGTATGCTACTTGTGTTTTGTTTCTGTGTGGCCAATGCAAGGGTGGATTGGAAGAAGAGATTTTTGAGGTCATCTTATAAGAGCCACTTAGCCAAGTCTAATGTAGCTTTTATTTGTTGAATTTTCTTTTTGCAATCTATGTCCTAGAGACACTAATCACTTGTTAGAGGAATTTAACTCTTTTTAGCACAATTGTGATCCATATGGACCAACTTAGGTTGCTAGAAGGAGGTCATGGGACTTGCAACCATGTTGCTTCCAAATGGATTATTGTAATGGGAACCTTTGAATAAGATATGTTAAATCTAAATTAGTAGTAATTGTCATCATTTTGATTTTGTCTCTATGTAATGAGGAGTTGTAGGAGGTAATAAAAAAATAAATCGTATTTTTATAAGATATGAATTCTACTATCTTAAAATTGTATTTGCTCTCTTATATAAAAACAATCAAGATGGATTAGGAAGTGGACTTACATATTTTGTTTATTGGACCATGAAAAGGAAAGTGAATTCAAGTAATTGAACTCATCAGACAATCAAGTGTCTTTGAGATAAAAGCGGAATAATAAGTTATTTCACACATTCTATTCCTTATTGTCACGGACACAGAAATATAGACTCAAGATCTAACAAGAAGTTCAAGAAGAACTGGCAAGAACTAGATTAATCAGATAAATACAAGAACAACACCATAGAGGTGAGTTAGAGCTCCAAGAGATGTGTTGTCAAGACTGAAGAACTCTTCAGCCTCGATTCCAATATATACTCCTATTTAGGAAGCTTCTCAAGCAACTTCTACTAACTAAGAAGCTTCTAGAAGGTTCCATAGACTTACTTCTAGAAGGTTCTAGAAACTTGTCTCTACAAGGTTCCATAGACTTACTTCTAGAAGGTTCTAGAAACTTGTCTCTACAAGGTTCTAAAGACTACGTCCTTAACATCTTCTACCAATTAGGAAGCTTCTCAAGCAATTTCCATCTACTAGGAAGCTTCTAGAAGGTTCCAGAGACTTGCTTCTAGAAGGTTCTAGAAACTTGTGTCTAGAAGGTTCTAAGGACTATGTCCCTAACATCACTCCCTCCTTTGGCTTCGAGGTCTCTGAGAAGCAATGTTGTTGTTAATCAAAACCAACACAAGAAAATGAAGATCTGTCACATAACATTTGCTATGAACTCCTTTTGCGGCACATTGGCGAGATTTTCAGCTGGCTCCTACGTTCGCTCATTAATGTTGTAGCCACACCAATGAACAAGATACTCTAACTTACTCCACCTTCGCCGTGAATCCAGCACCTTTTCAACCTCATATTCCTCATGCTTCTCGATCTCAATACTAGGTGGCAGACATTGTACTCTTCCAGGAAAAGACTATTCTCGATAAGGCTCCAACAGAGAAACATGAAAGACTGGATGTACCTTCTTAGAAGCCAGTAATTCCAGACGGTACGCCACTAGATTGATTTGCTTCCGGATGATAAATGGTCCCAATCTTCGATAGTCCAACTTATCACATGGTCGCTTGGTCTTGATATTCCTTTGAAGAAGCCATGCTTTATCTCCAATTTTGAAAGTAGGTGCTTGATTCCGAAATCTATCTGCAGACGCCTTATAGGATTCTTGAGCGGATTGTAATTGAAGCTTCAATGTATTTTGAAGCTCTGATAGTTGTTTCGTAAATCCTTTAGCTGTTGGATTGTTATTTGTTGATGGACTCAATAAATCAAACTTTGGATGATATCCATAGTTGAAAAAGAATGGTGTATATTGAGTCGACGCATGGAGTGTGTTGTTATATGCAAACTCGACTAGCGACAGATATGTGGTCCAATCGTCTTGCTGATAGTTGATGCTGCATCGTAAGTATTGTTCTAAAACTTGGTTTACCCGTTCCAATTGGCCGTCAGTTTGAAGATGGAAAGCCGAAGAAAGCTTGATATCCACCTTCAGTATCTCAAAGAGAGATCTCCAAAACTTTGATACGAACTGGGTTCCTCAATCTAATACGATATCATCTGGTAGTCCATGATATCGATACACATTATCGAGAAAGAGTCTTGCTGTGACTTCACTAGACGATGTCTTCTTGCAAGGGACAAAATGTGCCATCTTTGTAACCCGATCTACCATGACAAAGATGCTCTCAAATAAGTTCATTGATGGCAGGTCCATGATGAAGTCCATGGAAATTGAAGACCATGGTCAACGTGGAATCGGCAATGGCTGTAGGAGTCCATAAAGGCAATGTCGAGGATTCTTAGATCTTGAACAGATGTCGCAGGAGAGGACAAAATCTTTCACATCCTTCCACATTTGGGGCCACCAAAAATCTCGAGAAATAAGCTCCAAGGTCTTGTTGAATCCAAAATGTCCTGCAGCTGAAAAATCATGGCAAGATTGAAGAACTCAGAGTCGTGCTGGTCCTTTTGGGATATATAACCACTCTTCAAAGTATAAAAGATCTCCCTCCACCTTAAACTTGTCGTCATTGGCATGCTGCTTAATATCAATGGCTATTAAATCTTCAATGGTCATGGTACATACCTGATTTAGGAAGTCAACATCAATTGGCACAATAATAGCACAAAGCTGAAATTTATCTCGCTTCAACAATGTCATATATTGTTGATCAAATGCTACTTCTCCAGCCTTTGGTACAAGATACGATCTCCTCGATAAGGCATCAGATAGTCCTTGCTGCTTTTCAAGTCGATAAGTGATAACCAAATCGAACCTAGATAGCAACATATTCCACCGAGCTTGACGTCGATTTAGAACTTGAGCCGACATGAAATACTCCAAATTCTTGTGATCTGTGTATACGGTCACTGGGTATGCAGCTCCTTCAAGAAAATGATGCCATTCTTGGAAAGAATCCACTATAGCAAGAAGTTCCTTATCGTAGATCTCATAATAGATTTCAGCAGCAGAGAACTTTCGAGAATAGAATGCAACCGGATGGAGCTTCTTGTCTTCTCCCATTTGTGAAAGTACAGCTCCCAAAGCAAAATCCAAAGCATCAGTTTCTAAATAAAAGGCTTTTGTAAAGTCTAGATGTACCAAGATTGGAGCTGTAGTAAATGTGGTCTTCAGGTCTTGAAACGCCTTCTTCGCTAAAGGTCCCCATTCCAGCTTATCCTTGCATGTCAACCGAGTGAGTGGAGTAGCAACTTGAGAGTAATTCTTGATGAAGATCCGATAGAAGTTGGCAAAACTAAGAAAGTATTGTACGTCTGTAACCGTCTTTAGAACCTCTCAGGACAAGATTGCTTCCACCTTCTTGGGGACCATCTTCAAGCCTTCCATAGTCGCAACGAACTCCAAAAACTCTATCTTTATTTCATGAAATAAATACTTCTCTAACTTGGTATATAGTCCTCGCTCGCGTAGTTTCTCCAAGACCAAACGAACGTGCTTTTTATGCTCTTTCTCATTTTTGGAGAATATCAAAATATCATCTAAATAGATGACAACAAAATTATTAAGGTACTCTCGAGAAATGTCATTCATCATATGTTGAAAGATCGCTGGAGCATTGGTAAGACCAAAGGGCATGACATTATACTCAAAATAGCCATACCTTGTACGGAATGTTGTCTTCCACTCATCTCCTTCCTTGATTTGTACGAGGTTGTAAGCTCTCCTTAGATTAATTTTTGTAAAGATCCTTGCACGTCCAAGTTGTTCTAAGAGACCAAAAATCAAGGGTAATGGGTAATGATTCTTCTTTGTTACCTTGTTGAGGCCTCGATAGTCCATGCACATTTGCAATGAGCCATCTTTCTTCTTCATAAATAAGATGGATGCTCCAGCTGACGATTTTGAATGCCGGATGAAGTTCTTGGCTAGATTCTGGTCGATGTACTTCCACAACTCCGCCAACTGCATCTGCGATAGATTGTAGATTGGGCCAAAAAGCGGTTGTGCTCCTTCCTGCAAGTCTATGGCACAATCATATGGTCTGTGTTCCAGTAGCATGTCGACATTCTTCTTTTGAAATATGTCTTTAAAATCTTTATATTGCTCAGGTATACTTGTTGTCGAGATCTTCTCTCCGGTAGTTGGAGCCGCATAAATGACAAACGATGTGTCTTCCTTGGATGATCTTATAAACGTTCTTGTTCCAATAAATAAGGATTTCTCTATTCGGGATTTTCTACTAGGCTTGCTCTTGGATGGTTTTGTGGGAAAGGTCATCTTCCGCAACTTCCAATCTATGGATGGGTTATGTTTTTTCAACCAAGAAAGACCAAGAATAATAGGATTTGATGGGGTTCTAATAATATTGAAAATAATATGACTACTATGGCCCTTAAACGTCACTTCTATAGGTTCTGATTCATGGGTGACACTACCAGACAATAAAAGTCGCCTATCTATGACCTCAACGTGAATAGGTTTGGATTTTTGTACTAAAGGGATCTTATGACGCTTCACAAATTCTTCATCTAAGAAACAAGGAGATACTCTTGAATCTAATAATACCA